CTCGTATACTTTTCTTTAAGCTTCAATTAACAATCGTTTATAATTCTAAGTTCACTCAATAAAAATGCTCTCCTCTCTAAGTATGGCATGCATTTACCATTAAATTTCTACGAAATCTTGCCCAGGCATGAAACCATTTCTCCAATCCTTCCCGAGATGAACCTCACGGGTCCATGGTACACATATCATAGTTAAAGTGCTTTATTTACTATATCAGTAAACACTTTTGTTTGCCATCAGCGTCTCTGTAATGTTTACTTGTTTGCCTTTCGCCTTTTTCCGAGTTAGAAAGCGGCAAACATGCAAAATTTATTTATAAACATTGACATTGCTATGAATGTGTGGTATATGTATGTACGTTCCAACTTGAGTAAACAAAGGCGAAACGAGAATCATCGCGAGGGCTGAAAATTCTTTATAAATCAAGGCATCAAAGAAGTCGGTTTTTTAATCTGCTTAGCGCGGCCAGAGAAAAGGAAAGTATTGTTCTGGCCATTCTGGTGCGCACTCATTGCGGCAATTTGTTGAGCAGGAACGAATTGCTTCTTTAAAATTACTATCCTCCATGTTTATTGTATACAACTTAAATAGTGAATGCCTCATGGAGAGGAATGGGGTAGCCGAGTGAGTTAGTACAAAAGTGCAGCCTGTAATCGCGTCCAGAAATCGCACACTTTGTTATCATTGAAAATATCTGGCGTCTAGACAAGATGACGACACTGGAAAGTGTTTTTCCTCGTATATGTTTTCATAAAATGCGTTTTGGTTTTGTTTGCACCGAGCAAGTGTCGGGAAGTTAGTATATTCTTTTGCTACTTAAATTGGAGCGTTTAAATAAGGGTTACACTCACTCTTAAGCGATTGTCCATTACTGTCCATACTCTGGCTCCATAGTCATTGGAGGTGCCCAAGATGTAGGCGCCTGTTGAATCGAAATCGACGGAGTTAATCCCAGCACTGCTTCCGCTTAGAACTGCACGTGGTTCAGTGGAATCTAAAAGGGCACAATGCGAAGTTATATGCGTGTAAATCAAAATAGTGTGATTAAGTATAGGTGTAATAAACAATGTGCGACTGCGGACTCACTTTTGCCAATATCCCAAAGTTTGACTTTGCGATCAGCGCCACCGGTGGCCACCATGCGCTCCACGGGACTCCAGCGCACCGCGTGCGACTCGTTCTCGTGTGCCTCGAACTTCATGAGGATCTTGGTGGGATTGGCCTGACCCAGGTAGCCGGTGGCCTTCAGGGTGTCGATGGAAGCCCGGGAGCTCTCGGCTATCTCGCCTGCTGTAAAACGAGCGCTAATATATTCATTATCATCGAGACCTATGGCTTCCATGGCGCCATTTATCGCGGCCTCGTCGAAATCCTCGTCGCCGATGAGGCCGCCAACGTACTGGGCGGGACTGGAGTTGCGCTGCAAGGATGCGGCGCCGGGCGAGGAGGCGGTGTTGCTGGACGAGCTGGGCTCACGGACCGCGTCTTCTAGGTCACGTTTCAGTTTAGCCGAACGTTTCCTGAAAATTGACGGCAGTCTTTTTCTAGATATGTTCAAAAACGGTTATACATTTATATTAAACCAAATAAAAGGAGCAAATCAGAATGAGTGACACAGTCGATTATATTCGTCTAAATGGTCCGTTCTACTCCTTGGCGACTTGTTAAGTTGTTAGTAAAACATATGTATTCAATGTCAATATTTATTACATGCACTTGTGTAGTTTCCGTAAACCTTTGCGATTTGGTAGTTCCCGTGCTCCGCATTTTTCGGTTAACTTGCTTGCATGACGTTGGATGGGTGGGCAATAAGTGGTTTATTAACACAACTGGGTGGTCAGCGGTCGGGTGGATGGGCACTGCAATCTCTAATCGGGTATTAAGATAATAGCCTAGTATACATGCCCTAAAACTCAACGAAGCTACGAAGGATTGGGCGTTCCCTGATCAATTGGATATTCTGTTTTTTACGGTATCAATGGCATTGCGGTTTGGTTACTCTTTCTTGCTACTAAGTAATTTATTAGTAGGTCACTTCAAGCAAATAGTACATGATATTTATTAAAATAATCCTCTTCTGTTTTATGAGCCATGTGAAATATTAGATTGAAAAGCTGCCTAATCCATAGGTGTTCTGTTTATTTTGTGTGTATAAGTCAATAGTTTACATGGAATTTTTATCACTCTTTTATAAGCATTAGATAAGCTTCGCGATTAACCATTTTATGTGTATCTGCGTACCTATCTTGTTACGAAAATGCATTTATATACATATACATTAATGATCGAAGAGATAAGTAATATTAAACGTTATGTTTTCCATGAAAATAGGGTCACAATGGTATTATTTTGGAGGGTACGCACCTTATTATGCTCTCGTTTTCCTCGTTCAACTTGTCGGCATCCTTTGACTTGTATTGCATGAGTCGCTCCAGTAGACGCCGATTTTCATCCTGTGAATCGCAAGAGAACGAAAAGCTTTTTAGTAGACGCTTTTTCATATTTGGGATATATGCAAATCTTTGGCGCCGTCGTGCTGTTTTCCGCGTTGAACGCTAATATGCTACTGGATCGAAATCCGAAAGATAGCAAGCTTTTCCCGCCTGTAGACGAGGCATAGCGATTCGAGCCATCTGCAACGTATTTATCGAAGCAACCAAATACCGTAGAAATTGATTTGCTCAATGGGACTCGGAAACCTCGAATAAGTACCAATAAAATTATATTTTAAACGCTATTTTGAATAAACAGTTCTGGGGATTTAATTAGCGATCGATGAGTAACCAGCAGTTGATCATCAAATAATCCTCTTTGGGATTTGTCTATCATTGTGCTATAAGTGCTTTTAAATGGCTGATAAACGAGAATTAATGGCCTCATATTTTGACAACTTTTGAATGGCAAAACAAAAAAGAAGTGGATAAACTTTTGAAAGCGAGCCCGTCAGTTTATTGGGTCACTGACTTAAGTGGGAATATTTCAACTTACAAACAATTTAATTAAAAATTCACTATTCCAATTTAGCATATAAGTAGAATTTACTGTGTGTACTATTCTTAGACATACAAAACAAAGCCATGCTGATTCAATAGGAATAAATAGTAAATAACCTGGACCACTTACTTGTACTCCTCTCAGCTTTTCCTCGAGGGAGCTAAATGCCAATTGAAGCGCTGTATGTTCATCCAACATGGTGTTGTTCAGTTTCTTGAGTTCCTCCAAACTCGAGTGAAGTAGCTGCACTTCCGCGCGCAATCGGTTGTTGTTCGTTTGCTGTTCGACGAGGCTAAAATAAATAGTTATATTAGAATTTGATTTGCAATCTCGCCGAGATTAAGGTATAATCTCCAAATAATTAGTCATTCACTCTGCTGTAGACTCTTAATTGAATTTAGAAATCAAGAAATTAGAGAAATCAACCAAACAAATGGTTTTTAAGTCACAAAAGGGTTTTTCTTTTTGGTGATTCGAAATGCGGAACACCCTAGACAGCTACCTGTGTTCCTTCTCGGAAATGATGATCCTCTGTTGCTCGACCTTCTGGTTGAGGTCCACGATCATCTGGGAGTTCTCGCCCTTGCGCTTGTGCAGCTCGGTGAGCTCCTCCTGCTGGCTGAGCAGCTTTTTTTCGAGGGTGGCGATGGCCACGTTGGAGCCGGTGCCACCTGTTGACACCGCACTGCGGAGCTGCTCGTTTTCGACGGAGATCTTCAGGTTGTCCGCCTTGAGCTGTGCCACATGGTCAATCAGTCGGTTGTCTGCAAGAGATGCGGGCAATTAATGCGTGTGACCATGAAGTTCGTAGACTTTTTGGATCGGAGGTTAACTGGTGCGTAGCGGGGCCAAGTGGTACTCCGCTGGCGACCCAGATGCTTACTTTGCTCGATGATCTCCTTGAAGTCGCGCTCCTTGCGATTCCGCTCGCGTAAACGCCGCACGACGTGCGCTCGCCACACTTGCTCCTCCGTAGACATGTTTTTATTGTGTTTCTGCCCGGAATTTCTGGGTGTTCCGTACTGGGGACTCCGGACTCTTGGCTTGGGTTCTCCTTGCTTGCAGGATTCGTGGCGACACCTTGGCGTGGTCGCCTGTTCGCATCGCAGGGGGCGTGGCACGGGCGCTATAAGGCGGCTGCGCTTATTCGCATAATTGTTTTTAACCAAATATGATTATTGTTGTTCAGCTGTTCATATTAGTGATGTCACTGCACGTCGATGCATCGATGTGTTTTTTTCGCGATACTTATCGATGGTACATCGGCTTTGAATAACAATGATTTTAAGCACAAAACACCTCAACAGAAATGCACGTTATAAGTTGATATATAATAAATAAATATTTGTATTTGCCTGAGGTCCATTACTTTTGATATTAAATCAGATTTTTCAACTTTTTTATTAAAATGTTACAGAGGAACCCGGTTCACGCGTTATTAAACAAAGTAACCGGTTTCCGTTGAAAGCTTCGAACGAATTTATCAATAAGTTGAATTTGAAACCATCGATGAGTATCGATAATCGCTGCATCACTAGCTTGAAAATCGTAGAAGTGTTACCAGTTGGTCAATTTATGTATTTCCCCTAAATTGTATGGAAGTGATACACCCAAATAACGTGTGGAATATACCATTTGAGCGAGCCTGATTATTTTACTATCATCGAGTTCATATTAGTCATTATTATTATTGTTCCCCTATAAAAAGAGAGAAATAGCAAGTGTAGCTTCATCATCAAAAAACAATTTCAGTTTTTAAAATCAATGAAAGTAGTTTAATAGCAAACTAATAAAGTTTAAATGCAAATATCTTTTTTTATTTTGACTTCATCGATTAATTGGGCGCCAAAAAACGAATGGCTAGTTTTGTTGTTGTTATCGAAAACAATAGTATTGGACAACGTTTTTCCAAGTGCTGCATAACGCCCAACCGGTTAAAAAGCTATAACCGCTGAAATATTGCAGAAAAGAAACGTTTTTTTGTATTTAAAAAGATAATTTCAGATTTGTACGCTAAAGCCAAATAATACAAATTAATTATTAGTTTTAGTTTACACGAACAATTTACACTCTAAATAACTAATTTAATGAGCAATTATATATACTTTCTGCGTTTGTGCAGGTTCTGGCTAACCACGTCAATGTAGACATTCTTGTTCAGATGCACCTTCACCTGCTGCTTCGCATAGACCGAGGTTATATCAAAGTAGGGTATAATGACCATCTTCATTATGTATAAGAGGGTGCTGGCCACGACCGTGGTGGGAATTAAGAGGATCCAATACTCCAGCGCCAGGTACGTGTCATCGTTCATGCCCAGGTATAAAAGTAGCAACCTCGTTAGGTGGTGGATAAGGCGTTCCAAGGTGCACCACACCACGTATGTGAAGAACTCGAGGATGGCCAGGGATCCGACCGTCTCCACCAGGAACTGAATGGCGTACGGCAGGTGCGTGTAACGATCCGGATACATCTTCACATCGGAGGCCAGAAGAAGGAGGGCGCCCGCGAAAATCCAAGCGCCCAGATTCGGAGCAGGTGAACAGGTATCTTTGGGAGGCCAAAGGCACACCGACAACCCGAGCACGAGGTGAATAAAACCGGCAGTGTAAACCGCTTTCTTAGAAGCCATCTTTAAAAATCCTTTTCAAAAATCGATTTTACAAACATTGATCTGCTGTATACGAGTGAAATACCCACGATTGCTAGACATCGTGTTTACAAGGTCACAGTTCTTTCATTTGTACCTTTGAGAATATCTTTAGCCCGTCGCTTATCCAAAACGATCTAGAATTGATCATGGCTTCTTAAGCTTTGTACCAAATATAATAATAATAATTAGGAAAACTAAACCTGAGCTTTTCTAGTTAGCTTTGCGAACTTCGTCTCACTCCAAATTCGTTTTCCAGTGCAGACAGTTCTGTAGCGTTTGGAGAAAAAATTCAAAGTTAACACAAAATCCGAGGAATGGAGAGAAGAAAGCGTGGACATATGTATTGTCCACCCATTTACAAGAGCCAGAAAGTGGCGCGCATCACCAACAATGGCTACCTCAACTTTTTGACCGAGTACAAGAAACGCTTTTGCGGAACTTCTCCACAGGACATGGTGCGATATGCGGCTAAGCAGTGGAATCAGCTGTCCGTCGTTGAGAAGGAGTATTTCAAGAAAAAGGTAAGTCGCGTAGGAAGCCCTACAGGATTGATCTAAAACTTATATTGTTACAAAACAGCCGACGGCCGTTTTGAAAGGCGCACCACAATCTGTAGCATGCGAGCCGAAGAGCGAAGTTGCCGAGAAAACAGCACAGCAAAGTCCTTGCCCAAGACAGTCGCCATCCGCTCGGCAGCGGAAATCTGACAGGAGCTCGTCCAGATCGCGGGCCTTGTGCAGATCCGTGAACAGTCGGACGCGAGGCAAGCCAAGTCCTCCGCAGACCAAGCGCAGCGTTAGCCATTTGGGCTCCGCAGTTGCCTATATCCATTTCCTGCGCAAGTTTCAGCGGAAGAATCCCGAGTTGGCGACCACCGATCTGCTGAAAACGGCGACTCGATTGTGGTGTCGCCTGGATGAGAGTCAGCGGCATGCATTTGAGAGTCCACTTTGGTAAGCTACTTCACAGATAATCTGCAGCATGCTACAAATAAAATCCTTAATATTGCAGGATTGTGCAAATAACAGAATCTAAGTAGCAGTGTAGTATGTGTAATTTGGTAAATTGTAATTTGTATAACTTCACTTTCACTTTACACACAAGAGCCTTGTACAAATTTCTAGATTAAACTCGATCTCATGTTGAAGCAATCCACCTTCCTTGTTTTCCTCAAAAACCCAACTAGTTAGATCGTGCGGAAAGCGTTAGTATTAATGGTTGTAGTAATAATTGGCCGGTAAATGCGCTGCAGTTTTAATCCACATCGATAAGCATTAGCGATCGTGTGGGGAAGTGTGAAAATAGCCTTCGATATGCTGCTGCGGACACAAGTCTCCCGGAGCGACTAGAAAGCTGCCGTGGCATTTGGTCAGCTGCTAAACTACGCAGAACATACGTACGTGTAAGTTTTCTAAACACGCAAAGGCAATTAAAATTTTTAAGCGACATACGAACCCCCACGAATTGCACGCAGTTAACAGGGAGCTGGACATCCCGCAAAAAGATTGACTGCAGCAGCCCAATGCGGCAAACAGGAATGGTGGCTCCGATGGGCCACCGAAACGTGGCTACACTTGGACAGCTTGGACACTTGGACACTTGGACTTTCGATGGCGTCACTCCATAAATAACATACCAATTTACGTATTGGATTGTACTTACTCAAGAAAGGCTCCAACCAGACAGGAAATATTTGGAAGACACTCTTTAATAACTCGGACAGATCGCGAGAACTGCCTTTGCACTACAACACCTCGTGGCCAAAGCAATCAGCCAGGCCATGTACCCTTTTGGCCATTGTAGCCGGCTTGTACAACATATCGTATGCTTAATGCATAACTAATGAAGCAGCGCTCCTACGTTTCCAGCACGACGTTTCCAGCTTGGCTCCAAGTCGCTGGTGGGGCTGCTATTGGTGCAATTGTGGCGAGGCTGTCACTAGGACATGCCACAATTGTTGGCCTTTAATACCAATGGTCCAATGCTGCACACTCCGGCCAGCCAGTGCAATCGAATCGCGCTGAGTTGAGCCGAGTCGAATGTACTCGTACAAGTATCTGCTCGTTTTGGCCACAAAAATGCTTCGTGGTCCGCCAAGTGCCGCTGACGCCATCGAATTAGATTACAGAAACCGCTTTTGTACGAAAACTTTGGCTAATTAGATCTGCGGGTTCACTGAACTATATTGCAATACTTAGATATTACTTCAAATCTGTATTTTATGCCCTATAAGCGCCCACTTGAGCGCACTCATTTGCATGGCATCGGCTTGGATTCGGGATGGAATCGCAATGGGATCGGGATTGGGATTGGGATGGGATCGGGTTGGAAGGGAGTGGATAGCTGGAGCCTGGGAAGTGGCGGCGTAATTCGTACTATTCTATACTCCACAAACTGCCACACTCGCTTGGCCCAGAGTGAGCATGCGATGGTACTCATAATCTGCATTCGGAATCTAATTCAATTAAGCAATGTTAATGGCCTGGCTGCGGGACGGGTACAGCTGCGGTCAGGAAGCTAGGAACTCGGGTATGTGCACTGCAAACAAATGGTGACAGTGGCCAATTTTTAAACATAAATGGGTGGCGTAAAATATTTGGTAAAGGAAACTAGAAATATTCTCTAAATAAATGGTTAGCTTCAACACTGGTCCGAGTTCGAATCCCACTGCTTATTGTACAAACCTCTCAGCCAAAAGAATTTTAACATTTGTTTCCGAACTAGGCAGGTACAATGTTGCATCTATTATTATGATTGCTGCTATTTAAAAAATTGTTTTTCATTTAGTAGATTTCTTCTTCTGTGTATATGAATGCCATGGGAGCTATCAATAAATGATCCATCATAGTTCATATTTTCTTTCTCTGCAAATACTTAGGTGGGAAGCCACATAACGTGAGCATCCAGGAGATGTGCTCCCCGTTCTCGTCGGGAACATATTGAATTTCCAGCCTATAGATCCGCCATCCGCCATCCGCTCCGTACTTTTCTTCTGACCGCAACTGTGCACACACACTCGCCATCCCTGCCATCTGTATATACATACAGATATATACACGTATATATATGTTCTGGCCTGGCCGAAACTGATCTGGGCAAAGTGATTGTTCGGTCCGCCAGCAAGGCATCTTTTGGTTATTTGGTGCGCATTGGTCCCAAATCGAATTGCTGCGACTCTGTGCTGCAGTTTGCTGCTGCTGCTGCTGCTGCTGCTGCTGCTGGTGCCGCTGGTGCTGCTGGCCAGGAATAGGAATGCAGCATGCAGTGTACTTGTGGAGCAATTAAAGCGGACCAGGAATGACTTACCAGGCCATGGAAAACAAAACGACAGCATGTGGGGGGCAGAACAATGCAGTTGGGACTTGGCTTTCGGCGGGGCAATAAAAGAAATTTCAAATTATAATTGCGATCATAAGTCTGCTGCTGCTTATGAGCAGAAGTAGAGCTCGGCCAAAGTAATTTGAAACCGGGCGGTTTATAATTTGTCTTTATTAGCTCATTCGCTTTATTCATTTGCGCTGATAACGTAATATTTTTTACGGCCAGCAGGTTGCATGTTTTTTACTCGTTCAATGACTTGTTGCGTTTTTCCCTCTTTCTTTTCAAAGAAGTTAAGCAGGAGCCTATAAAATCTAGTCTCTTATTTACTGCCACTGTTAGTAATATTGCTGAAACAAAGCATTTTAAGTCGATTTTTGCTATGCACACAAATTGTTTTGCTTATGTTGCACATGTCGCATGTGCACCGAAAATTCTCAGGAAGGTAAACTGATTTTAAACTGACCCAACCAGCAATTCGAGCTTTTGAGGATGGTTAATGCGAAACCTTACAGTTTTGGCTGACACATTTCGCTTAACCTTTCGTATCCGGTATTCATGGGGTATCAGCATATAGCTGGGTACTACCAAAAGCATTTTGCTAAATCACAAACAAATCTGTCTTGGCTACAATTTAGTAGCGTGTAGCTTCAGGTCACTGAACTATACTCGTACTTTTGTTAAATGTCAGCATAAATGGGTAAAAATGAATTCGCCCCACAAACTCTTGCCAAAGTGTTCATAATTCAAAAGATAGAATGCTATAGTCGAGTTCCCCGACTATCAGATACCCGTGGAAGTGCAAGCGAGAAGTTTCAACATTTACTCTATATCGGTAGAAATTGGGGAAAAAGTAATAAAATGAAATAAAAAACTAAAAAAAATTTGGAAGTGTGGGCGTAAGAGTTTTGGGCGATTTGTGAGCATTAGAGTGGGCGTGACAACATTGGGAAACATTGCGCTGCGTCTATGTCGCGGAAAGCTGCATGCTTCATCAGATTACAAAAAAATGAAAAAAAAATTTCTAAATTTGAATGCAGAATTTTAGAGAATTGCGCCAGAAACATTTAGAGGTATGCCACTTCAAAATCCGATTAAGCTAAGTTGAGTTATGGAGTTTAGAACTTCAGCCTTGGGCCATTTTTAATTTTATTGAATTTCTACATCATACATCAGAAAAATGACATCAAAATTAAAAAAAAATATATTTCTAAATTTAAATGCAGATTTTTAGAGAATTGCGCCAGAAACATTTAGAGGTATGTTGCTTCAAAATCCGATTAAGATAAGTTGAGTTATGGAGTTTAGAACTTCAGTCTTGGGCCATTTTTAATTTTTTTGAATTTCTACAATTTCATACAATGACAAAAAATTTACTTTATGTGCTTGGAAACGCTTTCTTCTGCCTGTTACATACTTTCCAACAAATCTAGTTACTAGTTACGGGTATAAAAACTTCCTGTTAGAGTAGCAAATTCAAACAGTTAGCACTTTGTTTTCCGAACTTGACATATGTAAGCCGATCGACAAACGACTCAAATTATCGCGAAAATGGGACATTCGGTGAATCGTAAAAGTGATGACAAAGCCGGAAGAGCAGAGCAGCTAACACACATTATGGTAATCCAAGCCCCAATAAATTTAGCAAGAAACTGCCTCTTCACAATAACGAGGTAGGAAAAGCCGAGGGCTAAGCCTTAATTAATTCCCAGCCCAGTGGGACTTGGCCAGACGAGGAGTTAAGCGCCAACTGGCTTGTTAGCAAACAGTAAAACGAGCTAATCACGTACATCTCGCTGAAAACCCTTGCACTTTCTCCCCAAGTGAGTTATAAAGAAGATGGCAGCAGCCCATGGGTTTGGCACCCATGAATGGCCAGCTTGCACTTGGCTTAAACTTGGTTAGCTGACTTGAATGGGCCGCAGATTAGAGCCAACTACTTTGTGGGGTGGAGTGCTCTTTGGATGTTTAGTTTGGCATATGAATATGCTATAATCTGGTGTTTTGACATTTCGTAGAACGAGATCTATGGAAATTATCATATTTGGCTGGAGCAACCTACACGTTGAAGGCGATGCCATCATTCTTGGCCATTCTCAATGCCAATATAACGATATTGGCTCAATTGTTCCGGCAGCATCCGGCTGCAAATGGCGGTATTCGCTGGATGGTGGTGTTCGATGGAAACACCTCCCAATGATGGCAATTTCGCGGATAGCCGAGTGCAACTGTCCCATTGTCCCAGTACAATGGCCAAATGGCCAAATGGCAACGGAATATGCATATATGCGACTCCCTGGCCGCCTGACAGGTACAAAAATGCTGTCTGCCCCTTTGGTGAACTTCATTCATGCCCCGGATCGCTGCTCGGATTGCATTGCATTGCAGTGGAGTCGAGTGGAGTGGAGTGGAGTGGCTTGGCGTGGAGTGAGCGGCCAGCGATTGCTGCAGAAAATCGCAGCAGCATCAGCTAAAACATTTTAATAAAAACTTTTACACAGAAACGAAGCGGCCGCAGTGCAGCTGAAACAGAAAACCAAACACAATAAAGAGCGACACACCACACCGAAGCCCCAAAACTGGTTGCCACTAAGCCCGGTCCACTCCGCTCCTATGGAAATGGAACATGGTGGTCTTTTATTTACCTTTGACTTAACAGACGCTGTTAGCTGTTCGCCGCTCAAGATTTTCTGGCCGCGCAGCACACAAACATAGATATGTATGTATCTACATACATGCACCTGCAGATCGTGGATCGCAGTACCTGTGCTCCAAACGCGAAGCCTTTCGCACTCGAAAACTGGGCCCACAACTGGGTGTGCGTGTGTGTGTGGGGGTATGGTGTGGTATCCATCAGCTGGCAAACTAGTAAGCCCCGAAAAACCAGTTTTACCGCAAAAGCGAGTGCCAGCTCGATTCCAATACGTTCCACCTGGGATCGGGAATGGTGTAGTGTGGAATGGTATGCTATGGTGTGGTGTGCTGTGGTGTGGTATGGAGTGGTATGGAGTGGTATGGTAGGGTATGGTATCGCCCACTTGTTGCTGCCGCGAGAGACAGGTAAGGCGAAACAGTTCCGATCCGACCGCAGAGCCGACACCACGTACTTTCGCGCAGTGTACCACGAGTGTGTGCCCCAACGCAGCGCTATAAGGTGGCTGGCGCGATACCGGTTTTCGAGCTGGTATGAATATGCCCAAGAGCTAATTTTCTAAGAGTTATCTCTCGAGAAAATGTGTAAAGTTCAGAATGGCCCGTTTGTGGCGACGTGTGATGTGTGTGGAAGCCAGGCAGCTTGAAGATATGGAAGCCTGAAAAGGGCATACCACGCATATACGTGTGGTCGAGGCCATATCTCGAATGCCAGTGCATAGCCATATAGCCATCGAAATAATGCCCCTTTTACATCACAAAGAAGCCCCGGATGGCTAACAAAGCCCCCATCTGCGAGGCATCCATCACTAGGCGTAAAAATTGTACCTACACAACTTTAACCCCGAAAGCCAGACTTTCTCTTGCCAATTTTTTGTTTACCCAACCCACGGTGCAGCACTCGCAGTGAAAACAAACAAAACTCATCATTTTTAGCGAGAAATGAAGGATAGAACGAACACTAATGTGGAATGTGAACGTGATCGCCGTATTAATCTTAAACACACACCACGGATTTCATTTATCGACCCGACCGGGATTGGGATTGGGATTTCGGCGGCATTTGCCAAGAAACAGCCAATAAAACAGGCAAAAAACGTATTCAGCCAGATCGGCAAATGAGGTCACGTATGTCGAGATTTGTGTAAGAAAACTTACACAGTCGTGTTCACTGTACAGGCATACACAGATAGTCATCGACTTGCCATGCTACTTTTACTACATGCTAGTAGTAAGCCAAACTCCCACGCGCCGCTTTGTTGGCCAGCTTTTCGCGAATATTATGCCTTTAATTAATCCAAGAGGGCAACCTCGAAAAAGTAATTAAAATTCAATCTTGTGCGGAAAAACGAAGCAATCGCCATCAAAATCCACTCCCAAACCCGTTTGGTGGTCATCATCTTCAAAAAAGCATTTCAATACGAGGTTTATGACAAAGCAATGCATAAAATAAGTATTGCAACACCTTTTAAATTTGTGTCGCGAGTGTTTTTAATCGGTGTTTTTAACCCTGTTTTATGCGCAGATACAACATACATTGAATAGTATAAATCCGAAATGTAATTGAGGACCAAGAATCACCTTTGTTAACGGCGTGCGATTCCATTTTTCACGTTGGATACTCAGCTGAAGTACTTTCAGCAATTTTAATATTACACCTTTAGACCAAACGGTAAGTGCATAGTGTGCCATTATTAAATTATTCAGCATCCATAAGCGGGGAGAAGACAAAGATTAAATAATGTTCTGCTCCAAGCTCCAGGCTCCAGAGATTAATCTTCATTTGGCTAAATGGCCCGAAGCCATTTATAAAGAAGAAAACATAATCACCAAACCGTTTTTTGTTTAGCGAAGAGCCAGGTCGATTAATTTTATTGTCACCCAAGAATTTGCACTCCATGTCTTTGGCCAGCATCTTAATTCAGCGACTTATGTTTAATATTTGCACTTAACTTATTTACTTTGGCCATTAAAACGATGGCCATTTAAGACCATCATACGAGAGATTATTTATGTTACTCAGCAGTTGCTCAAGTTTCGTTAGCGGCGTTCTCAAAAATGGCAAATCACTTAGTTAAGCATCAAGAAAAATGATTCCGAACAAATTGGCTCCAAGATACTTGTAGAGTTCATTAGAACGATTAGAATGTTGAAAGCACTTTGAGTCATTAAACTCAACAAAGGGCATAAGAAGACATTACTATATACTCATTCCCATGGAAGTCATAAACACATAGAGACCCAATGAATCGCTCAGATTGAGATACTTTATGTGCTGATAAAATGCTGTATATTATGAAACATCTCACGGATCCGTGAAGAGACATACTTTGTATGGCCAAGAGCGCATCCCCTGTCCAATAAAATTAAAATACAATAAAACACTCACCGAATTAGCATAACAATCGCAGTTGGAGCTGACAGAACGATGGTGTATATGTTCATGCATGTGTGTCTGATGGGGATCCAGGCGATCCAGGTGATCCAGTGGATCCAGGTGATCCGAGTGTTCAAGGGGAACCAAGTGACCAGGTGGACCAGGGTATGCCGCGATGGCTTGGTGCCCAAACGCTGGCGTTCCTTTCTTGTTTATTTAAGATTTGTGTGGCAACCATCGTTCGCATTCCAGCAGATTTGAGATTTAAGTTGGCTACGTATTGTACCACATTCAAAACTAGAAAATGTTGGCAAAAACAGCATCAATAAGCAACAGGTTTGCCGCATATCGAATCTGCACCCAGCACACACCACACAGCACACAGTATACAACACAGGCATTCAAAGCACTGCGATACCTCGGCTTTCGTTTATTTTGCAAACCAGTTTGGCACATTCGGCTTTTTCTATAAGTTTCCGGTTGAACATAATCAGCAACTGACTTTCTGTGGCCACCGCCGAGCTGCTCCTCGTGCTCCTCCTGCTTCTCCAGCTCCGCCAGCGCCACCGATCTCCTCCAGCTTCGCGATGTCGCGGGCTTTGTTTATGCGGGGGAAATGGAAAATGGCATTTTGTATACGTTCAGTGAAAGCGGAGGACTTGCAGCGCTTTTCGCGAGTTTCGCGATTTTGGCGATTTTCTCGATTTTTGCGATTTTCTCGATTTTCCCGATTTCCTCGCAAATGGAAGCAGGAACGGCACGATCGAACACTTAAGCCCCATATCAATACAATGCGATATCTCGCACTCAAGTTACGCAATGGGCGATGGAGGCTTTTATGATTTCGGAGATAATTTCAGCAGCAGTTGCGTTTGCAGACAAGTTTGATTCCATTCGGGATTGCAGCACACTTTGGCGAAATTAAATAAATCGTTGCGAAATAATGGTTATTTCGATTGGTTTATTTGGCTCAGTGCGGGCTAATTGCGTAAATCGAATTACATTTGGCCCGCGAAGACAATAGTTGCAATTAACTAATTTCTGATGGCTAAAACATCCGATGCAGATCCAATCAGCTTAGTAGCTCAAATTAGTGCTATACAATGTTATAATATCGCCTTGTTCATTAGAGCGCGCACTTTATTTCCCTATTTTATGGGTTTCGGCTAATCAGCCCAATGGACCTGGGTCCTATGCATAGTACTATCCCTATCTAGTGGTGGAAGAAAAGCGGGTAAACTGGAAGATTAGCTCCGATCTGTTTCATTAAACAAACGATCCGAGTAACGGATACGCTGCTAGTGGCTCCTGGTGCCAACGAGTCTTCAATGGAGATCGCAGATGGAGCAGAAAGCCAGAGAGTCAGCGGATGTGCCAATCTGCAACCTAGGGATAGAAGCGCACCATAGGATGGCCAACTCCCAGCTCCCAAGCTCTGGGTTCTAACTGTAAGCCAGCCGCAGCCGCAGCCGCAAAAGTTGATCGGCCAGTTGGCCATTTAGGCGCTCGATGAGATGAGGTGGGCAAAATGGGAAAATGGGCAAAATAAGTGAAATGGGGAAGAATGGTAGAAATGATAGAAATGGCGGAAAAATGGGCAGAATGTGCACCTGATCGCGAGGCTCTCCGCGGGCTGGCTTGCCACTTTATTAGCCAATTTATGAGCCCACCGTTATGAACTTCTCTCTGTCAATATTGCCCCAGCCAAGTGGCTCGAACGGCTCGAACGGAACTGCGAAGCCATTTTCAATTTGGCCAGCAGTTTCGACACCAAGTTAGTATTTATTGGAGCTTCGGATCTGGGCATCTCGGATTTCCACAAGTCCGCATCCATATACGCGAATGTATGTATACATACGAGTATACTCGCATGTGCGGCGCTGCGGCGAAAAGACAACGCCAAGTTGGCTAAATTGTTTATTGCATATTGATATCACACCATTTAAGGCATGAGTGGCCGTCTTTGCATACAAAAGCATACAAAAGCGGCCAGCAGAGGGCATTTGGAGCTGCACTTTCCAGATTCGCTGTGTGGGCTCCGGCGTAGGCCAAAAAGTACCAGATATTTAAATCGGAGTCTTGGGGAGATAGATGTATGCATGACTTACAAGTAACGTATTTGCTTACTCTTATTTTCAGATAACATGGCTGCGAGGAACCTCACTCCCCAGCAGGGACTGGGCTTCTTTGGGCTGCTAATCCTGCTCTGCTCGGCGGTTTTGGGCAAGTCGCAAATGTGCGAAGTGGAAACGGGGCAGACGAACATCATTCTGGACATCGAGGAGAGCCGGGAGTCGTGTAAGTACATAAGTACACTTCAACTGCACTGGATTACAGAACTATATAGAAATACAATGTACATGGCCGTGTTATCGACCAGCCAGCCCATTTAGGCCATTTAAGCTGGCCTTAAACTGGAAATATGAGTTTTAAGTCCGCTGCGGCGTCAAATCTATTACGTGGATGCTAAAACATGAATGGCCAACCTCGACTTCAAGATCATAGACTAAAAGCACGAAAGGTGCAACACCGTAATTATTATTTTAGACGTGTTCAAGCGCATGGGCAGCCCATCACATCGCATCAAAGAACGAAAAGCACGTCGCAGCAGCGAAACTAAGTGTACTTCGTAGATACATTGTGTAATTTACATGCGCCGAGGTGCACCTCTAAGTACCATAATTGGTTTTTTGGTCTAATTAGCGCTCGCAGCCAGGAAGGAGTATGTGGGGTCAAGAATGGCCATGAAACATTGCTCATACGACGTGTGGTGCAGGCTGTTCATGTAGGGAGATAGCCTACAGATACAATGCTAATAAATTTATTATTTACGACCAGTAGATATCGTAAAATATGGTAGTTAGTTTTAGTAGTTCGTTATGCAACCTAAGATCTCACCAGAGGCGCCAGATAACAGGAGCACGCGAATTGGAAGACTTTCCCGTGCACTTATGATGCATCTGCGTGGAGTGCACACATAAACACTTCTATCCATATACTCCTGTACATATGTGCACATCGCAAGTGATCGCTGCAACTTGACCCCAAATGCAAAGAGAAAGGCAGCTGTCTGCAGTTTTCTCGGTTTTCGCGTTTTTCCGCCAATACGCTTGCCGGTTTGGCGATGCTTGTACCAATAACCCAGCTTTGTTTATTAGATCCCGGCTGCAACTTTATTATTTATGCGTTCTCCGCAGTCATCGGACAGCCGACCACTCCGCCGGAGCTGCCCATCTTCGGCGATCCGGAGACGGAGATCGCCCTGAACCTGGTCTTCCCCAAGGGCCAGCCCATCTTCCAGCTGAACGGCAAGAAGCTGCAGCTGCTGCAGCCCCTGGATCGCGACGAGGAGAACCTCAGCCACATCGTCTTCCAGGTACATATCTTTAGCACTAGCTGGCACTAGCTAGCACTTTCCACTGCGCGGTATCCACGAACCATGTCTGCCCGCCTCGTTCCAGGTCTCCTGCACCACCAGGTCCACGAGCAAGAAGCGCACCATTCCCATTATTGTTCGGGTGTCGGACATAAACGACAATGCGCCGCGCTTCATGAACACGCCCTACGAGGTCACCGTTCCCGAGGTGAGTAAATGGTGGACTCCACGACCGGAAAGTGGACATTTTCCAGCGTGCGCACGACCAGCTTTTCGTCGCCCCAAAGTTGCCCGCATTTCTCGCCGTGGTGCCGCTGGCTCCTCCGAAACCGGGTGCCAAACGGACTATCACGCTGGAAATGGTCGCAAGTGCACTGCGCGAAATTGGGTTCTAACCGCTCGGGCTAAATTAGTTTTAATCCTCGGGTGTCTGGAAGCTCTTGTCTTTTGGGTTTTAAAGTATTATAATTGAGCTGTATTAGTGATATATATCCCTGAGCAGTTCCTTAGCAGCTGCCGTGCTGCGTGGTTTTTTCCAGTGCATGAGGCAGGTGAATGTGCATAGTCTTCCCGACGCGACAGCAGCAACTACATACTGAACACTAATGAAGTGGTAGTGAACATGTTTTCAGCGCTTCGGCAACACAATAGCATGTCGGATGCCCAGTATCCAGGTACCCAAGTAGCCAAGTACCCAAGTATCCCCAGTTTGCCCAGTTGCACAGCATCCCCAGCATCAGAGTCCACGGAGGGGATCATGAGATTGGCGGCAAGAGTTGTAATAGAACTGCCTGCCGGCTCTTAATCACGTATTTAGACTAATAACGTTCAATTACGGAACTGTTGACATATTAGAAAGCAGCAGAGCGGGCAAAAAGCAAAAGACAAGGCGGAAACGTGCTTTATAAAGAATGGTACATAGGAACCCCGGCAAGATCACTACTGTGCCAAGTAGTCTTGCACAATGGGAGAAACCCCACATAATTAGCCATATAAATATCGTAGTAGGCCATAAAAACCGTAGAATAATTAGTTAAAGCGTTGGATTTCACAAGAACGACGGCGATTGTAAGGATGGAAAATGCAACTTATTGAAAATGGAAATCATTACCAGCAGATTAGTTTACTAAGGCTTTACTTTACAATGTGTCAGCCTTTTAGGATGCAATATATTTGTATGTATATTTTGTATGACCTGCAACCTTGAAAGAACCCCTCAGATGGTAAACAAAATTACAAGCCAATACAATGCAACGCAACTGAATATAAATCGTTCATTGGAATTCGCAATCAGAAGCTTCGCCCATGCGAAATTTATTTAACAATGTGAGGAAGCCTCCGAGTTTAGGAAGCCTGGTGCGGAATAAACAAAAGCTGGGCTACCTGCACTACATTGCAGTTCGGGATGCAGGTCCCTTTATAAGGCGATCTGCCAGTCAAACTGGAATACAATTGGTATGCACTTGCCGGCTTGGGCGAACACTCCCGAGGGACTGCGTCCGCTGTCCAGCCGGCGAGGAAAAGACAACAGAATCGCATTTCCCCGCCGCTCTAGCAAATAATTACAAGAACCGAGATAAATTATACCTCCGGAGATCGGGCGAAACAATATGGCATCCGCGGCATCCAATGGCCATCCAATGGTCTTGGGAACTTGTGTGGCTCTCGACTGTACCGAAAATGAAAAATTATGAAAAGCGAAAGAGATGAGCTAAGGTGCATGCCATTTAGCGGAAAACCCGAAAACAAATCGCAAAGTTCAGCAGATGCACAATGTCCGCCAATTCTGGGTACTACATCGCCAGCTGGGAGTGGGGGAAAGCGCAGACTCCGCAGCTCCAGCAAACTTGCTCCTTAGCTTCGGCTGGGAGGCTGCCACCGTTATGTAACAGCCCAGCAGGCTTTTGTGGAGATGCACTGCAGCCACTTGACTCAAAAACAATGAATGCGAGTGTAATAATGAGCCGCAAGTTGCCGTTGGCTGCAGCTCAGTTGGGTTCCATGGGAAGCGCTAGGAATCCAGCACTACATCACGATGAACCAGAACCACCTACTTGCGAGTATTACTGGGGCAGGAAACACTTTCGGTTCTCCAAACAAACACCACCCGCTGCTTGCTATGTCCAATTAACTGGCATTCCAATGGGCCCAGCTTAACACCTCCTTACCTTTACAGAGCACTCCGGTGGGCACGACCATTTTCCGGAACATTCAGGCGCTCGACAAGGACGCAGGCGTCAATGGGCTGGTCGAGTACTTCATAGCCGAGGGCAGTGCCAACTCCACCGATGCGGAGAAGTACAGTGCGGATGGGTACGGCACCTTTGCCATATCGTTTCCCCACCAGGGTCAAGTGAGTCCGCACCTAATCCTCGCACATCTGAACTGGATCAGTATAACTTCTCCCTTCCTCAGGTTACGGTGGCCAAGACGTTGGACTTTGAGAAGATTCAGACGTACTATCTCACCATTGTGGCCTCGGTAAGTGAAGCCCCAATAATTTAAATATAACAAAGGGCTAATTAGGCTGTCTGCTTGGGCATTACAACAATTAAAGTTGGCGTAGAAAAGCCCCAATTAGGTGCCTACTTTTACCGGCACTCAGCCGTCGGCATTTCGCGTGGATCCCGTACCTTTCACTCCGAAATTGGAGTTACAATAGAGGGGAATGTGCCCCCATTTGTAATGCATTATGTGATGTTTATATTTTCAGGACCGAGCTCGGAATACGGCAGATCGTCTTTCCTCGACCACAACGTTGACGGTCAACATAGCCGACTCAAACGACTTGGACCCATCGTTCATCTACAGCGGATGCGTTTCGCTGGACGGCGCCTGCATAAATCCGGAGTACTCCGCATCCGTGCCGGCTGGATCCCTGCTGGGCGTTCTCACGGTGCTGCCCGAGAGGATTCAGGCAGTGGACCTGGACACCATAAACTCGCCCATCCGCTACAGCTTCGCCAGCGGGATGCCCGGCAACTACGCCGACTACTTCCAGATTGATGAGAGCACCGGCGTGCTAAAGCAAACGAAAGCTGTGGACACATCCACAGCGAAGAAGTATGACATCATAGTGAAAGCGGAGGAGGTTTCGCCGGGAGCCCAGCGCTTCACAACGGCCAAGCTGGAAATCTTCGTGAAGCCAGTGGACGCCAATCCGCCCGTGATATCAGCGTCCCAGGCGGAGGGCTATGTGGACGAGAACTCGCCCATTGGCACCAGGGTCTTGGACGCGCACGGTAACCCGATATCGTTCATGACCACAGACGCCGATCTGAGTGACAGCGATCCGAAGCCGGACTACATATACGAGCTGACCACGCCGTCCTTCAATGTGACCAGCGATGGCATCTTGGTGGTGAACGAGGACAACCTCGATCGCGACCCTCCGGCGCCAGGACGTTTCAAGTTTCAGGTGGTGGCCAGGGAACCGAGAACCAACGCGGCCAGTGCGCCGCTGAGTCTCACGGTCCATCTGCGGGATGTGAACGACAATGCGCCCAAGCTGGCCATGGTGGCGCCCATCTCCATCACAGCCGGGGATCAGAGCGAGAGTCGGCTGGTCACCCAGGTCACGGCCACCGACAACGACGAGGGTCCCAATGCCGTGGTGACCTACTCCATCTACCATGTGTCTAACAACGGCATCCAGAAGTTCACCATCAACGAGACGACGGGCGAGATCAGGACCCAGGGACGCCTGCTGGCCGGGGAGCAGTACAGCATCACGGTGCAGGCCACCGACATCGGAGGACTCTCCTCCCAAGCGATCGTTGAGGTGAGCGTGACCCCGGGACCGAACACGAAGCCACCGCGCTTCCAGAAGCCCATCTACGAGGTCCAGGTCAGCGAGGGAGCGGAGATCAACTCCACGGTCACAGTGGTTCACGCCGAGGATCCCGAGAACGATGCGGTGGTCTACTCCATCATATCGGGCAATGATCTGCGGCAGTTCGCCGTGGGTCAAGAGAGTGGCGTCATCATAGTGATAAGAAAGCTGGACCGCGAGAGTCTGACCCGCTACCAACTGATCCTGAAGGCGGAGGATACGGGAGGTCTCTCCAGCAGCGCCACCGTCAACATCAAGGTGACGGACATCAATGATAAGAATCCGGAGTTCGAGGCCTCCACCTTGCCGTACGTCTTCCAAGTGGAGGAGGGCAAGGCGCAGGCCTCTGTGGGAGTGGTGCACGCCACCGATGCCGATGAAGGTATCAATGCCGAGATCACCTACTCCATACCCACCGACATACCGTTCACCATCAATGCCACATCGGGGGAGATCCTAACCGCCAAGGAACTGGACTACGAGCAGCTGAACGAGTACAAGTTTGTGGTGACCGCCAAGGATGGAGCTCCGGATGCGCGACTGGGCACTGCCAGTGTTACGGTGATGGTGCTCGACCTTCCGGACGAGGTGCCCAAGTTCAGCGATGCCCGCATCGATGTCCACATTCCGGAGAACGAGGAGAACTTCCTGGTGGCCACCGTGCAAGCCTTCGATCCCGACTCCATGCCGGAGATCACCTACGTGCTCCGGAAGGGCAACGCGGAGCTCTTCAAGGTTGCGGAGAAGAGCGGAGAGGTGAGGACCATCAAGGGATTGGACTATGAGAGCCAGAAGCAGCACCAGCTGACCATTGGAACCATAGAGAACGATGGCGACGGACCAGGCGACACAATCCTACTGGTGGTGGATGTGGAGGATCGCAACGATCTGCCCCCGCGGTTTATAACCGTTCCCGATCCCGTGACCGTGAATGACGACCAGGGCATAGGCACCATTATAGCCACTCTGCCCGCCATCGATGGCGACGGCACCTCACCCGGAAATGTGGTACGCTACGAGATCGTGGGACGCGGCAAGGCGCCCAAGTACTTCCAAGTGGATCCGGACACCGGCGCAGTGCGCATTAGGGATGAGCTGCGCAAAGAGGAGGATACGGAGTACCAGGTGGACATACGGGCATATGACCTGGGGGAACCCCAGCTGAGCTCGGTGGCTCCGCTGCGCGTCGATGTACACCATCTTTTGTCCAGCGGCAACAATGAAATCAAATTGGACAATAAGCTCGAAAGTGGAATGGGCATGAGTAGTGAAAGCATAGGCCTGGCCTTCAGCGACGACAGCTACACCACCAGTGTGCCGGAGTCAATGGAAGCCAACAGCACCCTCAAGCTCATTCAGATAGTGAACTCAAAGACATCTGCCGCCGGGCCGCCGGCATTCAGGTGTGAATTCGTGAGTGGCAATGAGGGGGGCATCTTCAATCTGAGCTCCGCCGATCATGGTTGCAACTTGCTGCTCATCCAGCCCTTGGACTTCGAGAACAAGACCGCGTACACGCTGCAGTTGCGGCTGACATCCCACCGCTACTTCGTCAATCCCCTGAAGGACACCACCACCGTGGAGATCATAGTCCAGGATGAGAACGACAATGCGCCGGAGTTCGAGTTCAATAGGCTGCGCGGCCAGCAAGACACTTTCTACACGGTGGTGACGGAGGAAATGGATGTTGACACAACCATTTTGCAGGTGCGAGCCACAGATCGTGATTCGGGGAGATTCGGAACCGTTCGCTACGCTCTCTACGACGATGATGAAAACCGGGTTAACGCGGTGAGCAATCTATACCTTACATTATCCAATGCATTTTTTGTTACCCATGCTTCCATGATGTCTGCAGCCCACTAGCTTCTTTGTGATGTCCGAAGACACTGGAGTTCTGCGAACTGCCAAGCATTTCAAGAACGAGAACGACTTTCCACTCACATTCTTGGTGGAGGCCCGTGATAGCGATGGTCAGGAGCAGGGATCCCATCGCACGCGGGCCAGGATAGTGGTCAACAAACTGGCGGACATCAATCGCATGGCACTATCCTTCCCGAATGCAGCGCCCAGCGATCTCCGCAACTACTACACTGAGCTGGAGGAGCTGCTGGACAAGAAGACCGGGCTGGTCAGCGGCATCGAGCGGATGAGCAGTCAGAAGTACTTGGCCAAGAACGGATCGGTGATCGAGAACCCGGCTGCTACGGACATTTGGTTCTACCTCATCGATCCCAAGACGGAGCAGCTCGTCAGCCGCAAGGACAGCATTGTGGAGACCACTTTGCTGGAACCAGCTGCGCGATCGGAGCTGAACATCGCCCTGCCCAGAGCCACAGCCGAGAATATATCCTTTCCCCTGGAAAGAAAGGAACACGTGCACAAGGTGGGCACTCATTCCATTATGTCTTGTTTGGACCTCTATTTACGCTATTCCTTGGTAACTTCCAGGTCAAAGCCGCCGTAGCCATCGACAACGAAGTCTTCCCCTTCACTCTTATTGCCATATCACTCGTTATACTCATCCTGGGCACGATCGGCATCATTTACATATGCATTTCGTGGTCAAAGTAAGTGGATTACCCATGACTATTTAGTTATACTGACATATTTCAATACATTACTTGTTATAGATACAAGAACTTCAAGCAGCGCATGCGCCAGTACTCCTCCACGAATCCTCCTCGCTACGATCCAGTGATCGTTAACCAGCAGGCCTCGAGTGCCAGCGAAACCATAGCCAACTTGAAGGAGTACGAAACCCAGATGCTAGCCATGGCAGTGCCGCCGGATGTGGACGACGACCTGCAGCTGGACTTCAGTGCCAAGAACCACGCCTTCTCGCTGGACAATGTGAGCTACATAACGCACAAGGAGAACACCAACGGAGGCGGCCAGTCCAGTCCCTCCCACTCGGATGCCACCACGGCCACCATAGCCACTCTGCGCCGCCATAAGAATCTCAACAATGCCAACATGAACAACAACCTGGCCATCAACAACAGGCAGAACACGTTCAACAGAACCCTGGAGATGAACACCCGCAACAACGCCAATCCGCTGGGATCGCCGCCGAACGGAGCCCTCTCGGGCACCTTGACCTTGGGCCGCATCAAGCACCAGAACAGCAACCACTACCAGAACGGCGCCTACAACATAGACCCAACCGGGCCCAACAACATGGCCAATGCCAAGAACAATGCCTACAGCACGATGGGCAGGCGGGGCAACACCTTCGGCGACGTGGGTCTGCTCAATGGCAATGGGGAACTGATGAACGCCACCCTGGGTCGGAATGGCCAGCTCAACAATCGCCTGTACGGCGGGGAGGTGCCCATCACCAACCCGCTGTTTCAAAGGTATGCATACATGGCTTACTCAATGTCCAGTTTATACAACATCTATCCTGCAGATCCAGTTCCGATCACAACCACCTGAGCAGCACAAATGAGAACGTCTCGTTCGGCAAGAGGGACTACGGCCAAATAGGCTTCTCCTATCTGAACGACTTGGACAGGTCGGAGGTGGAGACAACAACGGAACTGTAGGGAATACAATAGGATTATTCTGGTTTCGACATATTACAGACTTGTTAATATATTTAGCTGCCAATTTGTAATTTTAATAGTGCATTTTAACAACGAGAGCGGTTGCCATCAATCTATGATCATAGCACATGCAATCTGTAAATATCTGAGTGGAGATGCAGAGTGGAGGAACTGATAACTGATATATTTAACTGTGCTTAAGATCAAATAATTACAGTCATTACTTTTAAGCGAACGCAGAGTGCATATTCCCCATATATCTACGAGACCGCCAGACGCAGGCGTTTTATGTAAGAATTGTTGAATAAATGTGCGTGCATTAATATAAAGTGTATAAACTATGGAAAGCCAATAAATGTAAATAAATATAACGTGAATCCGTAGATTTAAACTAAAGAGAGCCTATTTATTAAGGGTTCGTTAATAGCAAAAACACCAAAACTGCAATGGCTGAGTACAAAACCAATTGACATTTTCGTGTTGCAGAATTATATCTAGGTTTCTATGATTGCAACAGTAAACATTTACTATACGAGGGCCTAACAATTAGTTCTAGATCTGTTTTGAGCGGACTCTCTTGGCTTCACGGCGCCTTTGTTGTCCTCGCCATGAGCCGTGGTCACGTTGAGCACTTGACTCGTGAACAGCTTATCCGAGGGGTCCTCCTTCTCCTTTTTTATGGCGGTACTCACGCTGGCGGACTGGGTCTCCTCCTCCTCGGTCTCCGACTCGCATTTCTGTGAAGTAAAGTGAATGGCAACCATGAGAAGAATTGATACGTTGGGCTAGCACGTGGATTTGGGTTAGTATGGTGGGTTATTACGTTTACTATGCTATTTGACTAGTTCATGAGGGCATCGAACCAGGGCATGTGCTCTATGCCCTCGAGCAAACGCAACACTTCATTCACATTGCTCTCCGATTCGTCGATATCAAAGTTTAGTTCGCTACTGTCTTGCACAGCTGATTGTTCTAACTCTAAGTTGCCTCCGATGAGATTGTCTTGAGCCTGACTTTCAGCGGGTCCAACTGAATCGTTGGACCCGCCCTCGCCTTCCTCCACGAGGCCTAAGTCTACAGGAGCACTCTCCGCACTGCGATCTTCAATGGCTAAGCCCAGGTCAGTGTCCATGTCCAAGAACATGGTGTAGTCTTCGCCGAAGTTCGCCAGATCGTCAACTGCGTCAAGGTCAAAATCGAATATACCATTTGCAAAATCCAAGAGGTCATCACCCTCCGGCTGCGGTTCATTCCGTGGGTCGTCTCCGACAAAGTTATCGAGACCACGGCCTGCTGCGAAAATACTTTCTACCGGCGGAGTGCTTGGAACTTCATAAAACTGGGGGATGAGAGGTCGGCAATTTATTCAGGGTCGATCACAAAAGGCTTACTTAGACAGTACTAGCACTTATATACATGTGTTTCGTGTTTGTTTCTCTAGATATACTTAGCTTTACTACAAGTCAAGCCTAAATACTAGTTACGCAGTATTGTTGGTTCGAACTGTTTCACAGTTCGCTTACTGTACTTTCAGCAGTTATGTGCAACACAACATATGGCAATGAGTGAGTGGGTAGTTGGTATATCTAAGCAGTTACGTGTGGTGGTTATGGCGTGGGTTGGGTTAGTTTTTGATCAACGCACCTTTTGTATATACTGGCGCTTAGCCGGCGCCACAGTCAGGTGCAGTACGCAACTGGAGTCTTCGAGAATGCTAGCCACCGGCTCCTGGCAGACCACCCCACTCCGCTCCACGCCGCAGGCCCGGAACAGGACCTGGCGTTTATCCTCCAGAATGTGCTTGCGGCAGTGCTTGCAGCAGGGCAGCGTTCGTTCCCCACACTTGACGCCGCCTTCGGTGAAGACGCACTTCGGGTTGCTCGACGACTTGGATGCGTACAAGGTGTCGCGAGCGCGCTTCTCCTTCAGTTTCTTGTAGAGCACTGCCTCCACGCCCTGGCGACGATGATAGCTATTCAGCGCCTTCAGCTGTTCGTACAGTTTCCGCTCATGTGGCGTGTCTTTTAGCTGATCGTGAATGCTGCCTGAAAGTATGGAATTAGACAACCTTTCTGTCGAGTTTTAGGGCAGTTGATACATACAATATAGCTCTCGTTCACGTCGTATGTCGTGCAAGTACTTGCGACGTCGCTGCTTCAGCACGTTTTGCAGATATGAAATCTGCTCGCGATAGAGTCCCTGCAGCTTGATCAGCTTCGTTTCGGCAATCTTAACTGCCTCTGCGCGCGTAAAGACGCCAGCGTGTCTGCAGGAAAGAAGCAAAATGTGATAATTCCCTAATTAACACTACTACACGTGGGTAGGATCTTACTTCAAAGGATCATCATCTTCCGAATCGATGCTCTCATAGTCAGATTCGTAAAACTCAATGTCCTGGGCGGTGTTCCTAAGACAGGGCGGATCCGCATCGTTGCTGGAACTATCGGAAGCATAGTCCAGAATTCGACGTCGTTTGCGTGAACTCTCCACAACATGCCCTATTGGATTGCGGTGATCTTGGTTGACTGGAAATCAGGAAAGTTAAATTTGAGCTTGAGTTACATTCATCAGGACATACCAAATGGCGTCACATGGGGCGAGACCACATCGATTTCATCATCATCGGGCTCGATCTTGGCAACCTCTGGCTTAATGTCCTCCACATTGATGTGCGATGAGAGGCTGTGCAGCAGGGTCTCATTGGTTTCCACCCGGCTGCGAATTCGGCCCACATTCATGTGCGTCTTCTGCAGCTGCGTCTGGCGGTTGTGCTCGAAGCAGAGGGTGGTCAGGATCTGCTCCTTCTTATTGTCGTACTTAGCCACCGCGTTGATGCACTTCCTGCCGTTCGAGTAGACGTGCGAGCACTGGCGGTAGTTGGAGCGCGGGTCGCGCAGGACGTGCCGTATGCAGTACTCGTAGCCCTCGATCCGCATGAGGCTGCACTCGTAGGTGGGATTGGCGCAGTACTTAATCTTCGCCAGCTCGCTGTGGATCTGCTCCCGCAGCTGATGCTCCTTGTCCGGTGTGCAAGGCGTGCCGGTGAAGCGGGCGCACTGGCGCAGTTGGTTCGGCGAAAAGCTGGACATCTTCCTTTCAAGATTTCTTCCTTTTTCCAGAAATTTTCTTTCGATTTTTACGACGAAGCGAAATGAAATAAAATGCTGTGGAAACTGTGTGACCTCAGCAAAGTAGAGAAGAAATACCACACACTTTGACGGACCAAGTAGTGGGCAGTGATGCCAATTTAGCCTTTTTCCGGACAGATCTGTCCTGTTTTTTACTGCTTCATCCAGAAAAAATGTCAAACAGCCCTAACTAGGAAATCTGTCCTTTTTTAAGTTTTTCAATCCGGAAATCTGTCCTTTTTAGGCAATGTTAGAATTTTTAAAATTGAATTGGTATAATTGCACATTTTTTTGTTTGCAAACTATGTGGCATCTCTTTTAAGCAAAATGTTATCGATATTGTGTGTAATCGTATGAAGTTTTCTCAATCTGTCCTTTTTTTCAGAAAAATATTTGCATCACTGGTGGTGGGGGAAACTGCTAACAAGTCAGCTTCGCCTTGAACCATGAGGGGTATTCGCACCTCGGATGTTGAGTTCTTTATTCAAAAATATCTTAATATCTTAATCTTAAATGTAGTATACAATTTGGAATATATGTATTACCATCTGTATATTTATAAGCTTACTGTTATCTTAATCTTTCTTTATGCTAATGAACATGGCTTTTAGCGTGAGGATTTATTGCTTCTTAAGAAAAACGGCGAAATGTACTTGAGTGCGGAAGACCTTCCTTCACGACGTCTTCACGTCTCGTCTTCCTTTGGCAAAACGTCTGTTTGGCTCAACATGACCTTGATCCTGGTCATTCTTATGCCGTAGCGAACCTTGTAGTCCGCTGCTTCCAGTTGCGGCAGACACCTCCGGTTGATGAGGAGCAGGAAAGTTTGACTAGTCTTCGTGATTTCCTCCGCCCTCAGGATGGACCAGTCGGACATGTCTATGTCTAGGTTCTGGGCTCTCAAACAGATCAGAATCCGGTTGTGGTCCATTTGACCATGGGGCAACCAGATGCGCGCTTGAGGACGCCAAGGAATATCGCTGACATGGACGAGCCTTATGCGCATGCCGTCCCACGAGTCGCCAATAGTGTCAATGCACGCCGCAAGGAATATCTTTGAAAAGCCGTCGACGCACCTAATCACTCGGTGGCCCCGGATCACATCGGAAGAGTCGAAGGAAGGAACGGGACCCCCTGGCATGGCCATGACTCTGTCAGTCACCATGTGGGCCAGTCTGGTCTCGATCTCCTCCCACTTTTCGTTGAGCAAATAGCCGTCTTCGTGGAACTCGTCCACCAGGGCCATTACCAGGTTGTCAATCGCCGCCCCATTGGGTTCCCCAGCCTTTGGGGGACCTGGGCCCTTTGGCTTCTTGGGCACCTTAGCCTTCTTGAGCGCCGGTTTCTTTTGCTTCGTACGCTTCTTTATCTTATTAAACACATCCCTGGGATATGTCGATTGGGCCGCTTTTTGCGCTGCCTTCCGTTTTTTCCTGGCCTTGGCTCGAGTGCGGACGCGGGACTTGGACTTTTCCCTCTTCTCCTTAACTGCATCAGGGATTTTACCTTTTTGTTTAGCGTCCTGTGAGGAGAAGCAAGGGGTTTCGGATGGGGACTCGGATTTCGGACGCCGCCGCCAGAGAGAGTCGCCCAGATCTTGAAATACCAAGTGGATCAGTTAGCATCGAGAAGGCAGACAACGCGCGACTTACCATCGTCATTGATAACAATCACATCCTCGAGCTGCTCAGCCTTTATATTTTCCTTATAGCAGAAGGTGTCCTCCTGCTTTGGCCAATTACTGTACATTTTGGCACTTATTGCGACTTGTTTTTCCAGATCTCAACAATAAACACAATGTTTTTACCATCAGCGCGGGAAAATGCCTAAAAAAAGAACTTTTTGCAATGCCACCGAACTGGTTGGAACACATGATAGAAATTCAGCAGTTGCTCAAACCATAGAGGAATTTGAAAACAATACGAATTCTTTCCTTCAATTGTTTATTAATTTCATAATGCCTTTTCCTTTGTACAAATATAAGTAGCACATACTTCAAATGATATTCATGCGTCCTAACTGGACAATAAAGTTATAAGCTGTTTGCGATCTTAGGTTTTTCCCAAATTCCTATCCTGTTTAATGCTATTTTTCTTGTGGTGTTCCATAATTTCTATGTCTGGATTGTGTGGAACGATGCGAACTGGTTGGTTTTTGTAGTGGAAGACTCTCCACAAGTTGTCGCCATCCCTTATCAAAAATGGGCACCGACCTTTGCGTAACGTTTTTTCTATACGCTCCTGGATAAGCAGAATCGCTTTGTTGGACAGTTGAGCTCCTGGGGGTAACTTCCAATCGGACTGATCCAACTTATCCACATTTTCCGTCTGGTTAACGTCCTTCGCATGCGCCGCATCCTCTGAGCGCTCCGTATTTCCCGTCGGCTCCATCTCCATCGACTTATCTCTAATATTCTGCTCCGTAGTATTCGAGAGATGCACTTCCTGCAGGGTGGGAATATATGGGGAGAGGCGCACTAACTGACTTCCTCGAGTGTGCACTCTCCACGTCTTAGGCCCATCCCTTACCAGGAATTTGAACCGATTCACATTGTTTCTTTTCAGCACACGGGCCTGAATCTCCTGGATCGCAGCCTCGGACAGTTCAGCTCCTGGGGGTACTATCCAGTTTGACGAATTCGCCTCCGTCTGTTCTACCTCAGTATGCACGGGTACGTCCTCGGTAATTCGTACTCGGAAGTCACTTCCGACGGTCACTCTCCAAGATTTCCCCTCATCATTAACCAGGAACTGGGCCGTTTGTCCTTTTGACTTGTTCAGAAATCCGTTCTTTATTTCTTTGATCGCTGCGCCGGAGAATTCAGCTCCACGAAGTACTATCCAGCCGAATGAGTTCACCTCTGTCTGTTGTTCCACACTTGATTGCGTTACCTCCTCCGCCTGATGAGCTATCACACTTTGTCTGATAATCTTAGTATTGTGCGCTCCCTTAGCTTGTTCCACTTCTACCTGTTTTGTGTCCTCCATACGCGTCGTGTCCTTTGCGAGAGTATAATACGCAATACGCACTCGTGAGCCTCGCCCACCCATTACTTTCCAGGTTATTGGACCATCCTTAATCTGAAACCGCAGCTGATAGCCTCTTCGCTTGTTCTGCAAACGCATCTGGATCTCCTGGATCACTGTATCGGACAATTGAGCTCCTCGAGGTAGTGTCCAGCCTAACGAGTTCTCAACCGTCTCCTCCGTATACTGAACCTGTTGTGCCTGGACTACTTCCAGGGCCGCTTGACTTGGACTGGGTATTTCGCTGGCGTGGACAAGCTTGATGCGTACTCCATTCCATGCGTCGGCCAATTGCTCAATACAATCCTCGAGGAAGATCTTGGAGAAGCCATCCTCGCACCTAATCACCCGGTGGCCCCGGATAACAAGTGACGAGTCAAGCAACGGATTGGGTCCTTGTGGCACCGCCGTTAGTTTATCCGCCACCATGTCCGCCAGCCTGGTCTCGATCTCCCCCCACTTTTCGAAGAGCAAGCAGCCGTCTGCGTGGATCTCATCCACCAGGGCCATTGACAGGTTGTCCTGGATCAACTCCTTATACCTCCAAGCCGAAATAGACTGAGGTGCATCTGCACCCCTTGACCGTTTGTGATTCTTCCCATTTGAGTCCAATGATCCGTTTCGCTTACGCTGCTGATGAACGCTCCTAATTGGAGAGCTTCGTTGAGCAGTTCCATAGCGTCCTCCCCTAATCCCTGATTCCTGTGAGTCATCGCAATCCTTGCGGCGAGCCCAGGATGCGCGTTCCAAGCCGTCAGAATCTAAGAGGTCTCACTTTAGTTAGGTGGCTCCACAAGATACTCGACATACCTTCATAACCCGGTTTTACGTTTTTGTTCTCCCAGGAACAGGGAGTTGGAGCAAAGCGTGGGTCCTCGCGTGAATATCTAGTCATGATAAAAATACAATATTACCATGTTATTACAGTGCGGAAGCTTTGACCGCAAAAGTAAACAAAACTCAGCCTGTTTTGTTGCGATAATTGACAGAACCTACTTCGATATTAAAAATTATCGAAGAGTGTGACCGCATTTGGCATATTAAACATCTTATTGTAATCTGATAATTCTGATTGATATCCGTTATTTTCGCCCGTTTAAGTACAGTGCTCCCAATTGAATATGTAAATAGTTCCAGCAATTAGAGAACCGAAATCAGAAAATACTCATTAATAACACATAATTGAAGTACATTTTGTTACTAATCCTAAGCGTAACGAAGTTTATTTACGAGCTGAAATGAACGAATTTACGCCAGCAGTTTTTACAAAAAAATATATATAAATTAATGAAAAGACATAAAACATATGTAACATGCAATTCATCGCTGTTGTGGCAAAAATTCTTCTCTTTCAATTTCTTTACCCTTCCCCAGCACAGTAATGCACAGATCATTAAGTGTTTAAAGTATAATCATACCTAAGTTTAAATTATCATATTGCCCGCCTTATCCACCTACAAATAAAAGCCATTCCAATCGTCGGTGGGCTAGTTGTCCACCACGTTCATGTCCAGGAGCAGCTTCTTGGTCTGCAGATCGATGAGCCGGCGCTTGGCTCTGGCCAACTCGGCCATCTCGTTGTAGTATATCGTTTCCGCCTTAAGTTTCTCGTCCAGCTGGGTGGTGGATTCCGCCAACGAGACGCTGTCCGGCGGAATCATGTTCTGCATCTCCGCTGGCTCCTGCTCCTGCTCCTCGCACCTGTCCACCACAACGGAGTCGGAGTTGTCCACCACGTACTCGTAGAAGGGTTCCTGCAGCGAAATCGAAGTGACCTTAAACCAGAGATCGAAAGCATGTAGAGGGTAAGTGGGTAGGGAGTGGCCCGCGGACAAACCTCTTCGTCCAGGTGTTCGGCCACCTTCTCGATGATGCTGTCCACATCGTCAAAGTTGACTTTTTCCAGGGGATCAGCAGCCTGCCTACGCTCCAGGCTGCTGTACGACTCCTTCTTGGGTGTCATGAGGTGCTGGTGCGAGTGGTTCAGCGTCTTGGCCAGGCTGGTGTGGCGCCGAACGATGTGGCGCATAAGATTGGAGGACGAGTGCTTCGAGGAGAGCGTCTTGCCGCAGTGCATGCATTTGGCCATGAATTCTGATATGCGGATGAAGTGGGCCCAGAGCTTGTTGTTCTTCCCAATGACCTTGTTGCGCATCTCCTCCTGGCTGTGCCGCTCCATCTGCTCCTGTTCCCGCTTCACGCTCATGATGCCGCGCACCGCAGACTTGGTCTCGCCCTCGCCCTCTGTGAGCTCCATGCTCAGGTCTTCTGATGCGGATGCTTCCAGCTCGTCCTTCAGCTCCGCCAGCATCTTACCCTCCTCGCCAGCGAAAATCGTGCGGGCCAGGAGCTTGTGGTTCCGGATTAAATGGCGCGTCAAGTTGGAGGATGTGTGTTTGGAGGACAACGTCTTGTCGCAGTGCTTGCACTGAACTATGTACTCGGTCAGGCGGTGGAAGTGGGCTAGAGCCTTAAAGTTTTTCCCAACCATAGCTGCTCCCGCAAATCCGATGGTTGCAGTTTCGCCCGCTCCTTACCAATTCGTTTGCAATTGTCGCGTTTATTTATCAAATTGCAATTATTTTCGGTGCAAAATGAGGGTGTGACCGTTTGCGCGAAGCCACAACCTAACAGTTTGCCAAGCTGAGAGTGGTCTGTTAGAAACGCAAGCTGGCCACACCTCGCTCAACAGTTTCTATATTTCTACAGCAGTAAGGGTACTCACTTATGTTACGTAGATCATGTTATAGGTGGCAGTATTGTATTCCTAATTGCAATTAAATTTCTGTTGTATTCAAAATGAATATTGCTAAATATGATTTACACATATAAAAAGTTGGGTCCAATTTTTCAACGCTTCTCTTACTCTATTTAACTGATTCTAGTTGCTACAAATTTATATTTGAATTTATGCAACAGCACCGAGTGTACTGTAATGCGCGCGTTAACAGCACAGCGTTGCCCAACAGCGGCAACTGTCAAAAAGATAACCCTACTTTTTTGACACGAGGTGCTGTGCGTGTCTTTTCCTTTCTTTCTCGCTTTTTACTCGAACATGGGTAAGTCGACTCCTGCAAATTGCGTCGAAATATCAAGAAAATGGGCTGAATACGGCCCGCAAACATCATGAAAGTGCGCATAAAGTACGTTTACAACCGCATCGAGTGAAAAGCAACGGGGAATGTGTGAATTTAAAGAAATATCAGTGCATTTAACTTGGTGCGGCTCTTTTGAGAGCGCCCGTAAACGTGCCCATGTTCTTGGTTTTTTTTCGACTTTTCCGTGCGACTTGTACTAACTTGCCCTTATTTATCAATCACCAGGTATTAGCCGCGATAGTGCACACAAACGCCGGGCCACCGGAGGCAAGCGCAAGTCGCTCCGCAAGAAGCGCAAGTTCGAGTTGGGACGCCCCGCCGCCAACACCAAGGTAAGGATAATCTCCAGATAATCTGAGTGGCTGTGTATTCGGATGCCAGGGTTCAGTTTCTCATACTCCCACTAAGGGTTAGTGGTCGGTGCTGAAAGGTGCGCTTGGGAACCGAGCACATTTTTAGTGTTTTTATCTAACCATCGTGAACTACACACATGGTCCTAATGTTGTATGTTTGAGATATGGTGTTTTCAATATTTGTTATATATTATATTCAATAATATATAAAGGAATAAGATGTATTTACCTGCCTATCCACCGACAATCTGTGAAAAGTATGAGATAACCTGTCCTAGTAATCCAATGCAATATAAAATGATGTTAACGCGTGTCAACTGCAATTGTGCTCTCGAGCACTCTTCTTGATGATTGAAAAGCTTTATGTTCGGACTACTGATTTATATCGTCTCCTGCATAAGGTCCTCAACGCTGTGTGTCCGGACTAACCAAGAACTCTTTTTCTTTCAGCTTGGCTCCGGTCGCGTGCACAAGGTGCGCACTCGTGGTGGAAACACCAAGCTCCGTGCTCTCCGCCTGGAAACCGGAAACTTCGCCTGGGCCTCCGAGGGAGTGGCGCGCAAGACCCGTATCGCCGATGTGGTGTACAACGCCTCCAACAACGAGCTGGTGCGCACCAAGACCCTGGTGAAGAACAGCATCGTGGTCATCGATGCCACGCCCTTCCGCCAGTGGTACGAGGCGCACTACGTGCTGCCCCTGGGACGCAAGCGTAACCCCAAGCACGCCCAGAAGGAGGACGAGAACGACGTGCTGACTAAGAAGCGCAGCGAAAAGGTCATGAAGAAGTACCTGGAGCGCCAGAAGTACGGCAAGGTCGAGCAGGCCCTCGAGGATCAGTTCACCTCCGGCCGCATCTTGGGTGTGTATTCTTGATTGATTATTTTTAAAGCTTGTTATAGTGATGTAAAAACCTTAGCGATCCAGCTACTTTATTGTGTCGATCTTGTTTTAAGAGAGATGCAAGCCTGCTGGGTGTGACTCCGCTTGTCATAGTTACTCTGATCCAACCACTTAACATTCTAGCCTTTCCATTCACTGGGAGCCCCACTCTAATTCCCTATTATTTTCCCTTCCAGCTTGCATTTCTTCCCGCCCCGGACAATGCGGTCGCTCCGACGGCTACATTTTGGAAGGCAAGGAGTTGGAATTCTACCTTAAGAAGATCAAGTCTAAGAAATAAAGGCACTAGATAAGCTTGCAAGACATGATTTGCAAAGAAAAACGGAATAAAACAACTTGTTTTTTATAGGAAGTGCATTTTTCGATTTTTTTCTTTAATTTGCCTGCTGACAAAGGAATGGCTTCCAAATAGTGGGCAGTACACTGTCCTGGTGTTCACCCAAATAAAATCCACATAGAAGATACGAATGTTCGTTAAATGTCTATTGAATTTTCGTTTCATAAGTATGATACAGTAATACGTAATCATTAACAATAGTTTAAATATCATTTATAATGGCTATAATTACATAACGCAGGCAGGATGTTGAATCCCATAAAGTACAACAAATTCATGTAAATTTAAAACTGCCAGTGACAATCTTAGAGCAAACTAAATGTCTGGTTTCAATTTTCTTCTTATACTGCTGTCAGCTAAAGTTCCTAGTGTTCGAATAGCATGGTCATCACGGCCATTAACGCAATGCCAAATATCAGTGCTAGCAGCTGCTTAATGGACTCCTTGCGCTCCTCCTCCTTCAAGAGATCAGGTAATACTGTGACCAGAGCAATGTGCAGAAAGCCGCCGGCAGTGAACGGCATAATCCACGAAGTACGTGCCTCTGTTAATGTTAAGATAAGATCACTTGTTTGTCACCCGGAGAGCCCATTTAAGCTTACCCATGGCCGACGTTACGCCGGAGCCACCGATGGCCACCAGAGCACCGAGCAGGCCAGCTCCAGCCGTGAGAAGTTGCGCACGCGCGGCGTCCCAACGACTGAACCCAGATCTAAGCAGGATTGCGAAATCGCCCACCTCGTGTGGAATTTCGTGAACTGTGGGATGAATATAACTTAGATTCAATATTTTTAATTGGTTCTATGAGTACTTACGCAATATGGCGAATGTCGCTAGGATTCCGTGCCTGAAGGACACCAAAAAGGATCCAGCCACGGCTAGACCGTGTGTGAAATTGTCGATTGAGTTGGCCAAGAGGTTCAGATACCCAGCCACTTTCTTCGGCTGCTCCTTCTTTTCCTTGGACTTTTGTTCCCGCTCGCGTAGGAAACAGACTTTACCCACATCTTCGATATCGCAGGCGCCGCCACAACTCTCGGACGTTTCGCCCTCTGGTAGTTGGCCTCCATGTCGACGCAACAGGCAGTTGGCTATCTCCACGCACTTGGGCTGAGGATTCTCGTCGTCCGCGCTGGCATAGCCGGAAAAGATTTTCTCCACGATTGTGAAAATCAGTATGCCGGAAAGGACCCAAAGGCCCGAGCGCAGGGATGGGTGACTAGAAGGATCTAAGAAGAAAAACCAATATTAGAGATGATTTCACAACATGGATTTCACCGCAACTCACCTTGATTATCGCCTTCCCAGGCTTCTGGCAACAGGTGGAGGAACACATCGCCCAGCAGACCGCCGACCGCAAAACTGAGAAGCACTCGCAGGAGTTTTGATTCTGCAGCTGGAGGGTAAGAAAGGATTCATGTTTAAATTGAAGTACTTTTCGTATGCAGGTGTAAGACTTACGATCTTTGTATCCCTCCTTAGCCATTTTCTCCTCCGTGGGAATGATGATCAGCGGGAATATGCCACTCAGTCCAATGACCACCGATCCCAGCAGAGAGAAAACCCATGGTGTGTACTCGAAGCTTTTGAAGTACGCGGGCATGTACTGGTCCACCAGGTTGAAGTATATCATGGCGATGTGTTCATCGAAGAAGCTGCTGTTCGTGGTCATTTTCGGCTGCCCTTCTACGGCTACTTATGTGCTGCTCTGTGCCGGAACTTAGGATTCTTCAGTCACTGCTGGCTGCTGCTGTTCAGTGACTTTCGGAGGAATACGTGCCGTGTTCGACGACTCGACCCAGCTAAAATAGGAAATATAATTTTAATTGTTTAAGAAATGTCGGCACACACGTAAATTTTGATATGAAAAATTTAGTAATCCGCCACCTGGCAACAAAATCATTGAACAACTAGATGCGGTTCTTAGTATCAGACAGAAGGTGATGCGAAAATCCTTTAGATATGGACAATGTCAGCCATAATCAATAAAGGGGCAGGAAAAATACTTCCAACTGCGCCTGTTGTCAGGTTTGATAAGCGAGTCTCTGTAAAATTTAATCATGAAAACTTAAGTGTGCCTAGACGGCTTCATAGGGAAGAGCAGTCAATCAAACTAAGACCATTGCCCGATAGCTTCATCAGGATGAGTAAGCGTGTCCTGCCTCACTGTAACCAATAAAATATCAAATCGTTCATCGCTGAACTTGTTACCCATATCACAGCGAACCTGGTGGACTTTATCTAAAATGCAGGTACTTAAATGATTAATATCTTTGCCAATTTCGATTGTTCGAGTTCGAGCAATAATTAATTGGCTTTTTCTATAATTTATAAGCAATTTAGATGTAGTTATATGCTTAGTTTGAATGTGATTGCTATTCTGGATTTTCTTTAGAATCATCTACGCGTGGAGGAATAATTCCCTTTGTAAGTCAGCCGTCTCTCGAGAAGTAACTACTCTTAAATCACTGCCACCAACCAAAACAGATCGTAAGTTGGGCGAAACGTAATTTCCAAACTCGGTAACCGTCAAACCGTCGCTCTCAATGTGCAGAAACAGACTAAATGAATTTCCAGGAGACGCTGGTTCGCAACGCCCACGTCAAGATATTTTGTTTCCATTTGATTTCCGATTTGATGTGCACGATGCAGCTTAAACTGTTCACTTTGAGCGATAAGATTACGATGGCACCAGCACAATGGAGTGCCACGATTTCGGCGGCTTTGCCAAACGGCAATACTACGCATGTGTATTGGGGAATTGAACTTAAAATCGGGGGAATGATGACCAAGAATTCCCTTCTACTGGGAATGAGTATACCTCGCCACTCCTGTAGCGATGTGAAAACGATCACGACCCCATGTAGGCGAAGTCTGTACTATAACTATGGCCAGCTCTTATCTTTCGTATCCGTTGTCATTGAACTATCAAAAAGCAAATTATTTAGATTAGATTTAGACGTCGTGTAATTACTTGTAGACTGAATATCTGTAAAGACTATAGGTAGGAGGCTGTAAGAACTAGTGACTCACTCGGTTCACTTGCTCCAAGCTCCAATACTACATTTTCTCCCTGTGAACCATGACTGCTTCACGCTTTTAATCTACTCTACTGTATATTGCACAGTATGCCCTTTAAAGATAATCTCTGCGAAATACTGGAAACAAGAATAGCAAAGAGTCATCTTGTTCAGATTCAGACCCGGTTTTACGTAAAGTAGTCGAAATTCGGTACTAGGAAGCCACTCAAGTTGGTTTTATGGTGTGATCAGTTGAGTAAATAATACAATTTCAGCACAATAAATGGGAATTATGTATTTAGCTGTTGGACTTAATTGTTGTGTTTTTTGGGCGAGCCCTCAATGAGAAGACAGTCCCGACTTGCGGACTAATTCCGGGAATCCTGTTAATTTCACTCAGATAGTTATTCACGAATCTATTCACGAGTCGCGCACGTATTCAATGATCATAATGTGGCACTATTTTGTTGAAAAACTCGAGGACAATAGATTATTCTGCGATTTAAAGTTGATTTGTGGCATGCGCGTATTTGAATACCTCCAACTGTTAACACAATACCAGTAACTATGTATATCACACTTGAGCGTTGCTAATGCGGAAATTTATGCTCCAAGCTCCACAAGTCGTGTGTTATCTCGCCGCTAACTGAGCTCGTTGTGGGTGAGGAATCGTCTTCTGCACACGTTCTTATAGTTGAATAGAATCGAAAATTTAATCAGGGGGTTCCAATGATAGATATATACATACAAGCTTATGAAACAATGCAATTTATAGATTTCCTGTGAATCATTATTGTCGGCTATTATTCTTGCACCCTGTACTAAAAAGTGGACACGTTTTGATTATCAATCAAAACGTGCGGATAAGAAAGTGCAAAATATAAACATGCACTTTCATTATCAATGAATATTAAGGAATATGGGATTGGGAAAAAAACTGGGTATTTTCCCGAGTTATAATCGAGCTTTACCCTTGCAGCACTCGTCATAAATAGATTTGTCACCCTTGTATACAAAACAAAGTTCTTTGTTCCGATCAGGGTGAAATGTATTTCTACGCCCACAACTGAGTACTGAGTATCACATGGCTTCGAGTTTGATTTTCCAGCATACAGAGAGGCAAACCCTTTGATTCTCCATGATGGTTAATAAACAAGATTGAAGCCGCGAAACCAGTTTGCCAAACAAGTTATCATTGTATTGTTGTTCAACAAAGTCTAGTCCATTTGTTTTTGCATTATGTACCGCTGATAAAACGCAATATTATAGTATTGTTCAGAGCACAGATTTGAGATTAGATTGAGTACTGTTGAAAATTGCTCAAATATGGCCGCTATTAGTGACGTGCGGTTGATAATCTTACACTAGGTTAGTTATGCGGCATATCAAGATATCTATGCGGAAGCCAGTAATTTGAGCACAATAGAGCACCACATTTTTCGAATAATGTCGTTGATTCTTTTACTTTAAACCGCACGATAAAACAATGAAATTATCTACAAAAAACATGTACATAACTGATAAGCAACACCAGCTGAGTCGATTGCAACACTTATGTTTTCAGACTTCGAGAACCTACGCTTCTACATATATTATAAGTTTTACTTTATTCAGATCTCTTTCACCACAAAGCGAATTGTCACATAATCATTTAGTGGCTCTTTCTTTAAATGCCAGAATTTATCTTTAAGCCCGATTCCTGTTTAACCGTTATTATTTTTACCGTTATTGAGCTGCAACGGGAACAGGTTAACGTGCTCTTATCACTTGTATTGCGGTTAGTAAAACCCGAAACTTTCGGTTTTTGCAGTGGCGAAATTGTATGATAAATTACTTGTCTATTGCGTAGTAGCGATCATTGGTACCCAATGTATTTTTACTGCGAAGTAATTGCGTGAATTCACGTTTATTGGGACCGGGCTCCCCGAGAGTTAAACGTACGCTTGGCCCCGCGGAATTCGAATCTCGGGCTTTATGTCGATGTCGTCGCCCCGCGCGTC